CTTCTTTAAGGTCCATTCTACTTCCAAATTCTTTCATTCTTAGATTTTCCTTAGCAAAAGTGATCTCTTCCTTGTGAAATTTTCTTGCACCATTTTGTCCAGACCCCTCTTTTGCCCTGCTTACATTCTAGCTTTTATCATGTATGTATACATACACACGTATATACATGATATACACCCAAATGCCTATACATATATTTTATATATACACCTATGTGTATATGTGTGTACACACACATATCGTTCGTTGTTGAGTCATTTCAGTTGTGTCTGACTCTCCACGACCCCATTTAGGGCTTTCTTGGCAAAGATATTAGAGTGGTTTGCCATTTCTTTCTCCTGTTCACTTTACAGATAAGGAAAATGAGGCAAACAGGGTTAAGTGACTTGCCCAGGGTCACACAGGTAGTAGGTGTCTGAGGCCAGATTTGCTATATGGGTATGTGTGTGTGTGTGTATACACACACACACACACACACACACACACACACATATATATGCATATATATGCATATATACACACATATATGCATGTATGTATGCAATATATGTATATATACACATGCACACACCTGTATGTATATGTGTGTATATGCAATATATGTATATATACACATATACACACACCTGTATGTATGTATGTATGTATGTGTGTATATATACACACATATACATGTATGTATGTATGTATGTACATACATACATGTGTGTATGTATTGTGGTGGGAGGATTTCTGATGTCTCCTGTTAGAATAGGACAGGGGTGGGGAACCTGCGGCCTCAAGTCCACACGTGGCCCTCTGGGTCCTCGAGTGTGGCCCTCTGACTGAATCCAAACTTCACAGAACAAATCAAAGGGCCACACCTGAGGACCTAGAGGGCCATACGTGGCCTCAAGGCTGCAGGTTCCCTACCCCTGGACTAGAAGCTCTTTGAAGGCAGCCTAGGCCACACTTATTTGTGCATTCCCAGAGCACTGCACGGAGGAGATGCTTCATAAATGCTTTTTGAAGACTATTGACAGCCATCCTCCATTTTTTCTTTCCAGGTGTTTCTAGGGGAGCCTTGCATCCTTTTGGGCAAGGAAGAAGAAAAAGAAAAGCCTTATTTTGTTGCGCTGCTCTCATAGTGGTGAGGGTGGTGGGGCAGGATGAGAGAGGGCATTCTCTTGCTTCCTGAGAAGACTCACTTCTCTTTAACCTCCAGTCTATGGGATGGAGAATTGGGCTGTCTCTTAATTAGCTCCGGACAACTCCTGATTAGCCATGTGCAAGATTATCTGTTTCCTCTAGATGACAAATTGGTTCCTGGGCCATCCCTTCCCCCACAACCTGGTGGATGTGTGTTCAAAGGACACAAACTCATTTCAATATTGACTAGAAAAAGAATGTAATTAGAAAGGTAAATCTGCTGTTGTTGCTATAACAACCCTCCACACTTCCAACTGTGAGAGTCTATGAAAGTCAGAGGGAAGTGACTTTTATATTACCTGCTATTTTGAGATTCACTGTTCCCCTCCATTGATGTGAATAATTGTGAGTTGACTGAAGAATAGTGACACAAGTGGTCTCTTCGAGACCCCTCTGACAAACCCAACACATGTAGATCTCTACCAAGACAATAGTCTTCTTGAGAAAATTCCTGCTGAGACCAAGAAGAATTTTTGTTCTGAATTGTATTCTGGTTGCGATGGAACTCTCACCTCTTTCTGCTGGAGTACCAGGCCAGGACTGATGCCAGAATTAAAATGTTAAATCATGGTCAAGAGACCCTTGGACTTACATGAAGGAAAATTGGATTCTAGCTCTGACTCTACCCCTATGTGGGGGCAAGTTAGTATAATGCAATGCTTTGGTTTCCTCATCTGAAAAACAAGAATCTTGCCAGCTGTCCCATAGTGCTGGTTGAAGAATTAGATGAAGTCATAGGCAGAATGCTATAAGGGACAGAGTGCTGATTCTGTAGTTAAAGGACCTGGATTCAAATCCTACTTTGGATACATGCTATGAGTGTGACCTTGGGCAAGTCACTCAACTCCTCTTTCCCCCATCCTCAGTTAGCTCCTTTGGATTATATGATCACTGAGGTTCCTTTCAGCTCTATAGCTATGATCTTATGTGAAAACTTTTTTTTTTGAAATTTAAAAGTGCTTTATTAATACAAAGTATTACTACCATTATTATCATTGCTATAAATTTTCAGAATTAAAACGGACTTGTTGCTGCTATCAGATTACTCAGATATTCAGTATGTCCCAAAGTGGGGTAAATGGAGACCTTGATTCTGCATCCTCTATGGTCTTCAAGCACCCCCGGTTTAGAGGGAAGCTGTCTGCAAGCATGGGTTTTACCTCCAATCAGACTCATCAGTTTCATTCACAGAGCTAGGAAGTGTCTGAGGCCTGATTTCTAACTATGGTAATATGCTGTATTCATTTTGAAATTGCATAAACTTTTTCTTCTTATAAATAAATCCTAAAAATAGGCTCCTGTGATGCAGTATGTAGAGATGGGAGATAGAAAGGAAAAACAAAAGAAAGTAGGGGCTAGGAAAAGGAGGGAAGCTAGGTGGCTCAGTGGATAGAGCTCTGGGCCTGGAGTCAGGAAGACCTGAGTTCAAATCTGGCCTCAGGCACTTACTAACCGTGTGACGCTGGGTTTAAGGGACTTAAGGAAAAGTCTGTTAAAGTGACTCTAGGAAGTAGGACTGGTGCTCCAGGAAGAGGCCAAAGGGTTGGACAGGCCTAAGGCCCAGGGGCTGTAGGCTTATGTCTTTCACAAAGAATAGGTCTAGAAGTCATTGGAGATAATCTAGGACTTTGAGTCAGAGGAGCACACAATGGTAGATTGAGGGCTGAGAGAGACCGTAGAGGCCGCCAAGTCCTACCCAGTCATTTTATAGATTAGGTAATTGGGGCCTAGAGATGTTAGAATGTTTGTCCAGTGTCATTCAGGTAGTAAGTAGCAGAGCCAGGATTTTCCTCTATGCCATTTGACCTCAGATGCAGCCCTCTTTCCTCTGAGCATACTGTTTCTCTTAGGAGTCTTCAGCCTTAAGTCCAGTGAGAGACACATCAAATCATGGTGACAGCTTTCTCAGCAGTCTTGGAGGATGTTGCACTTTGTTGCTGTTCAGTTCTTTTTCAGTCATGTCTGACTCTTCAGGACACCATTTGGAGTTTTTCTGCCAAAGATGGGGAAACTGAGGCAAACAGGATTAAGTGATTCATCCAGGGTCACACAGCCAGATTTGAACTCAGGAAGATGAGTCTTCCTGACTCCAGGCCCAGGGCTCTATACACCTAGTTGTTATCTTGGAGTAGAGCAGACCATTAGATGGTATTGATCATGACTTTGTAGTGGAAAAGCACTAGATTTGTGATAGCTTTGCTTCTTGCTATCTGTGACTGTAATCAAGCAACTTCTCTGCTCTGATCCTCCTTGCTGTTCCTCACACATGACTCTACTGTTCCTTTTTCCTTGCCTTAATTTCTTAGAATCCCTTGTTAGCTCCAAAATTCAGCTCAAATGCCATCTTCTACAGAATAGCAGGAAATAAGTAAGTGAATGAAAAACATGATTAAATACTTATTATGTGCCACAACTGAGCTAAAGAGATGCATCCTGCTTGGGTGGTGTTCTGTGAGACTAGATAAGACACAGAAAATGAAGAAGTGGAGGAGGAATGACCTGAAGGATCTGGGAGGTCAATTCTGGGGCCTTACATTCAGATTGTAAGCTTCCTTGTTTTAACAGGTTCCTCTCTGGAGAAGAGGAACAATATCTATGAGATGGTAGTGTTCGTGACATCATCCAATGGACTTATCTCCTGAATCTGAGGGTCCATTCGGGAGTTACAGGGAAATATAGAATCTAGCCTTTTCTTCCTTTCATCATGCACCCTGTTTACATCATAACATGTCTTCTGTGAATTTTCTGATGTGGACTCTGCCTCTGTTTCCTTGGTGAGCTGTCACCGTATGTTGCCCAGAACTAGGGCTTCACTCTCACTTCCTGGTCATTTCTAGACTATGATGCCTCTACTCTAACCATCTTCTAACCTACCCCAATTCTGACTCTGAACCCAGGTCACAGGATTCTAATAACATACACCACTCTTCCCCACTTTTTAGCTCCCCATCATGTGTTGTCTTCTCTGTTATGATGCAAGCTTCTTGAGGGCAGAGGCTGTCTTGCTTGCTTGTGTGTATATCCCTCTAGCTTGGCACAGTGTCTGGTATGCAGTAAGTGCTCAATGAGTGCTTTATTATTCATTCATTCATAACTGTAGACAATCAAACTATTTTAGCTTGGGAGGAGGTAGAGGAGATAGGCAGAAGGTTCAATTAGTATATAGTCCGGGCTTCAGTCTTGGACAAGTGACTACTTGTCTAAGGTATTACAGAGGGGATCATGCTTTGATTTAAATTAGATAACCTCTGAGGTCCTTTTTGACCCCAGGATTCTGTAGTTCTAACGCAATTAAACAGAAAACAGCTTTTCAAAACAGAACTGCTGTTTCTGCTCTGAACCTCCATGCGTCACATGTCCTGGAAATGAGCAAAAGATTCGCAGTAGATGTGTCTGGGCTTGGACTAAAAGCTCCTTGGGTGAGAACAGGAAAGGACAATTTGTGCCCATTACTAAAGAAGACTCTCCCTGGTAAAACAGCAGTCTGAAAATAGGGCAGTAAAGAGGAAGAAATTAAAATGGAAAAAGCAATGCCCTCCCACTCAGATGTATGAGTGGGCTGGATAGAGAGAGGGCAGCTTTAGAAGCATGGGCTGTTACATGAGACCTGAGAAAAGCAAGGGTGCAGAGGGAGATTATTACCTAACTCAATGAAACCAAATAAAAAGAGAAAGGTGGACATATCTGCCAGAGGCAGCTTCAAAACCAGTAGGTTTCATTAGATGGTCTCTGGGTTCCCTTCGAGTTCTAAATTCTACAATCTCTATGGAATGGAAATAAAGGTTGGAATTAGTTATAAGGGACTCCTGGACAAGGAAACTCCCTCTACCAGTTCAGGTTTCCACCTCCTCTGCAACTTACATTAGAGACTTACCATGATGATTTTGGTAAAAGGTTATCTAGAGGTAAGATTATAGCCCAGGATGCTTCAGTATTTCCTATTCAGTATTTCCTATTTCCCCATATGAGTGGAAAATAGTGACAAAAGAACCTGAATGCCACAGAGTAGGCACTTTACTTCTCTCATGTTGTACTAATCTGTCTCATTTATTCCATTAACACCCTTTCCACCTCTAAACTTTATCCCTAGGATATATCTTATATCCACTCTCCCTGCCAAAGGGCACCAAGTTTTCTTTTCCTCATCATTCACTCAGACTATAAGAATCTGTTTCTTCCAGGAATACTTCCTAGACTACTCCATGAATCTTTTTCCTGATTCCTCTTTGATGGAAATGATTTAACCTTCTTATCTCTTACAGCACTTACCTTGTAGCTTTTCTATGACTCTAACACAGCCAAATTTGTTTTATAAGTAGCTTATCCTATCTTGGCCTCCTTCTAGGTTCTAAGTTTGGGGGCAGCTTGGTGGCACAATGGATAGAGTGCTGGACCTGAAGTCAAGAGGACTCTTCTTCCCTAGTTCAACTCTGGCCTCAGACACTTACTAGCTGTATGACACTGGGCAAGTCATTTAACCCTGTTTGCCTCATTTTCCTCATTTGTGAAATGAGCTGGAGAAGGAAATGGCAAACCACTCCAATGGTTTGCCAAGAAAACCCCAAATGGGGTTGTGTAGAGTTAGACATGACTCAACAACAAAGCTCCAAGTTCCTTGAAGGTAGGGGCCATGATTGATTCTGGCTAAGGAGTTGGCAGCACTAAGTTCAAAGACTTGTACAGTCACTCAATACCAATATGTGACCCTGGGCAAGTGACTCAATCTCTCTGGGCCCCAGATTCCTCCTTTGTAAAACTAGGGTTTAGATAACTTTAGATGATCTAAAACTAGAAAATCTCTAAATTCCCTTCCAGCTCTAAATCTGGATCCTGTGCGTCATCTTTGCATTTCTCTGTGGCTTAAAACAGTGCCTTGCATATATGAATCAAGTCCCACTTCTCTATACACTTCCGCAGGGTGTCTCGAAAGTTTTAGTGCAGTTTTAGGTTTTAATAGCTTAAGTAAGCTATTTGAAAAATCAAAGCTTAAAACTACATCATGACTTTGGCGACTTCCTGTATTGTTCCCAAATTGAAGCATCTTCGTTGATGATTAGGAATTAGCTCCTAACTCTTTAGTCTTATATTACAACCAGTCACTCAGTGCTTGTCTGAGAGAGTATTAATGACCATCAGTGAAGGAGCTAAGGGCCCAAGGCAGAAGATAGACCCAGATTTGCCCCTAAGTAGCACCTGGTGCTGTCCTTGGTGCTATTCTTCCCTCCTTGCCCTGCTTCAGTTTCCTGGCCTCACCAATCAATAAGTTTTTGTTGTTTTTGTCGAGTCCTTTCAATCTTGTCCATCTCTTCACGAACCCATTTGGAGTATTCTTGGCAAACATACTGGAGTGGCTTGCCATTTCTTTATCCAGCTCATTTTACAGGTGAGGAAACTGAGGCAAACAAGGTCAAGTGCCTTGCTCAGGATCACATGGCTAGTTAAGTGTCTGAGGCCAGATAAGTCTTCCTGACTCCAGGCCTGGCTCCCTAACCATTGTGCCTCCTAATTTCCCAATCAAGTTATGGATCTCTATACCAACAAATTTGAAAAAAAAATGAACAAACAAACCTCAGAGGAATCCTTTTCTAAATGAAATAGCAAGCTACAAATAAATCTGCTCAGTGGGATCTGTTGTAATCTGCTCTGAAACAGAATTTGGGGATGTACACAAAGCACATTTCCACCCCACTCCAGCCCCTCCCCATCTGTCTAGTTCAGCAGGAATCTGGGAGCAGAGAGATGCCAGGGCCAGGCTGACCTGTTTGACCTCAGCCTGGAGGTGCCGGAGCTGCAGGCACTGCTCCAGACGTTTGTGGGTCTGGTCTGCGTTAAGCTCCAATTCGTGCTGCTTCTCGTGGAGAAACTCCAGGAGCTCTTGTACTTGGGCTGCGAGATCAATGTCCTTCTCACAGATCAACTCGATACCTGATCAAAAAACAAAACAAAACAAAACAAAACAAACAATTAAAAATCCAGGCCTACCTTAGAGACCATATGTAGGTGGTACTGTCAATCTGGCCTTTGCTTACTTATCTGTGGCATGACGGGATTGGGACAGGAGACCTCGAAGGTCCTTTCCTGCTTGACCTCTGTGACCCTTTGAGCAGTCCTTCAGTTCTAAGAGGGTCTGACTTCTGCAACTTCAAAGAATCATACGCAGAAGGTGTAAGGCTGCAAGGGACCTCAGGGATCATTTCCTCTGGCCTCTCCATTTTACACAGGATGAAACTGAGACCCAGGGATCTGAAGCCACTTGCCTAAGATTACAAAGCTGGGTACTTTCCTTCAACATTTCGGGTTCAGAATTGTTACCCTCCTCACCCTAGTCCCCACCTCTGATCCCTTTCACTCTTTGGAAATTGGACAAATGACCATGGCAGACTCTTGGTTAAGATAATCAAATCTAGGCTACTTGGAGGTATGTGTGGAGATGGGGGCAACATTCCCACTCCTCCCCCCACAGCAAACAACCAAACCCTCTCATAAGTGAAGTGCATTTCAGAAAGTGTTTCCATCTCAAGTATTCTTTCTTACATGAAGCCTTTCCTAGTATAGGGGAAAATGTACTGCCAGTGGAATCAGGGGATCTGGATTCAAATCCAGCCTCTGAAGCTTACTAATTATATGACCTTAGGCAAATTTCTGGACTTCAGTTTCTTCATCTGTAATGAAGACTGAAGATTAGAAAACTAAAATGACTTCAGAGGTCACTTTCAGCTCAAGATCTATGATCTCCAGGTGACTGAACACCTCCCCCCTCCCAATTGCCTTGTCTTTACTTACTATGTATTTTGTGTGTGTTTGTCTGTATAACAACTTGTTTTCTGCCACTTTTTTTGTTCCTTAAAAGCAAAGCCTCTCCATTCTGTGCCTGTAACTGGTCCCAAAACCAGTTACAGACTAGGCAGTTAATAAAATGATTGTTAACTGGATGATTGATAAATTGCTAGTTGACTTCCTATCGCAAACTAAGAAGACAGAAAATTGTACTGGGCATTTCTTAACCTGGTTCTCATTCCAGCTCTGCCACTAACTATGTGTCTGACTTTGGGCAAATCACTTCATCTTTTCACTCCTTAGTCTACTCATCTACAAAATGGACTGGATTGTATCTAAAATTCCTTCTGACTCAGAAGACTGTTATCTTCTCTTTCTGGAAAGTATGGTACAATGAGTAATTTACGCAGCATCCGGGTCATTCACTTTGGGTCAGTATAGGCAATGGTATTCTATTTAGAATATTTGCCAAGGATGTTTGAAATAGCAACAATAACACTGCCAAGAAATATCCTTTACCCAGGAAAGGTGTTTATCATAGGTGTTGTTGTTATTCAGTTGTTTCAGTCATGTCCAACTCTTCATGACCCCCTTTGGGTTTTCTTGACAAAGATACAGCAGTAGTTTGACAGTTCCTTCTCCAGCTTATTTGACTGATGAGGAAACTGAGGCAAACAGAGTCACACAGCCAGTAAGCTAGATCAAATTTGAGGTTAGGAAGATGAGTCTTCCTGATTTCAGGCCTAGCACTCTATCTACCTAGCTGCCCTTTTTTCTGGGTAGAAATAATTAAAGAGAGGGAAAAGGAGGGTTAGAATTCCTAAACAACAAACTAATAATAACCAGTCAGTTTGGGTTCACTGAGAAAGCAATTCTTAAAGTGACATTATGGTATAGCACAAGAAACAAGAACTAAGTCAGGTCAATTTTCTAGTCTTAGATCTTAATTGTGTGACCTTGGGAAGCCATTTAATCATGCCAAGCCTTCATTTCCTCACCTATAAAAGGAAAGGGTTGAACTAGATAACCTCCCTAAGATGCCTTAAAAGCTCTAATGTTCCATTCCATTTCGAACGTGCTTGTTCAAGAACAATGTAGGAAAATGCTCAATAAAAGTATCCCCATAAAAACAGGGAAAATGAGAGTCCATAAAATATCTTTACAACCTCATTACACCCATGACCTCCTCTTCCAAGACCGCAAATGCAGGGGACACTGCCTGCTTGTCAGAGACACAGTCCCAGTGTGGCTCGAGGGTTTGACGTTGTCAGGAAGACCTAAGTGTGAGTCCCGACTCTGCTAACTTACTAGCTTGCGACCAATGGCAGACCACCTGAACCCTCTGTGTTTCTGTGTTCTCTCCTGAAAAATGCGAATAATAACTGGGTTCAAGTCCTTCCTCCGACATACATTGGCTGTATATACCCGGGCAAGACATTAAACCTCTCATTGCCCCCAGGCAACTTTCTAAGGCTTTGTGATAGAACTGCCCTCAATCTATTGTTGTTGAGTTGTCTCAGTTGTGTTTAACTCTCGGTGACCCCATTTGGGATTTTCTTGGCAAAGATACTGGAGTGGTTTGCCATTTCCTTCTCCAGCTCATTTGACAGATCAGGAAACAGGGTGAAGTGACTTGCCCAGGGTTGCACAGTTTGTAAGTGTCTGAGGTTAGATTTGAACTCAGATCCCCCTGACTCCAGGGCTGGTGTTCTATCCACTGTGTCACCTAGCTACAATCTGTATTGTGGGAAAAGAGTTCTTCAATTGGCATTCTCCACACTAATGAAATTACAGGTATGGATTCCTCCCTCTTCCCTTGGCCTCTGTGCTGCCTTATAGAATTGTTGTGAGGATCAAATGAGATAGAATATGTTGAGGTACTTTCTCATTTTAAAGGATAGGGATTGCACTGTGATTTCATTGATATAGGGAACTCCTGAGTGAGGAGCCTCCCTCCACCAATGCAAGATGGCGTTTTCTCCATTACTGATAATCTTAGAGAGTTGGCAGAGCATTGAGAAATTAAGAGACTTGCCCAAAGTCACAAAGCCATGTGTGTCAGAAGCAGGATCTGAACCCAGGACTTCCCAGCTGAAAAAGCCAGCTTTTTATCCACTATGCCACATTGCCTGCCTTTCTAATTTCAAAGGATCTTAAAAGGATTTTAGTTATTTGTTTAAAGGAAAACCACAATGTCAAAGCTTTACCCACACAAAGAACAAATCTGCCTATTCGTTCATTCACATTCCTCCGAAGAGCCAAATGATAGCAAACATTAATTGATGACTCTTCAGACTAAACAAGCAGCCAACACTGGCTTGGTGCCTCGGGTCACCGTGCTGACAGAAGTTGTTTCTCTGCCCTGTCCACATGCTCTTCCCCTTCCAGATTGCCTTCCATGCACTCTGTCTCTGTTTTCCATGTCCCCAGACCTTTGTGCATATCTTCTCTGTTAGAATGTGAGAGCATGGGTAGTCTTTGTCTTTCTTTGTATTTAGCCAAGATGACACTGAGCCCTTAATAAACGGTTGCTGGTTTACTGATCAACATAGGTGCTCTTGATTGCCAGCAGAGTCTGAGCTCTTCCAGCTGGGAATAATAATATACACAATGAGGCTCTAGAGCCTGAGACAACAAGCCATCTCGGTAGTCGAGGTACCTTTTTTGCTGCCAACATGTTGCGTCTGGTGTCCTGGTGGCTCTGTCCTCCCATCTGGAAAAGAGCTTGGTACAGCGGAAAGGGAATCCTAGCTCTACATACTTACCACCCGAGTGGCCAAAGGCAAGTCACTTAACCTCTTTGAGCTTTCCTTCCTCCTCTGTACAATGAAGGGGTTGGATCTCATGGTCTTTAGGGCCACTTCTAGCTGCCAGTCGGTGCAGTGGATAGAGCATTGGGTCTGTAGTCAGGAAGAGCTGAGATCAAATCTGGTCTCAGATACTTAGCACCTGTGTGACCCTGTCTAAGTCACTTGACATCTGTTTGCCTACGTTTTCTCCACTATAAAATGGGGGATAATAATAGCACATAGCTCTCAGGGTTATTGTGAGGATCAAATAAGATAATATTTGTAAAGGGCTTAACACAATGCCTGACACATAGTAGGTGCTATGTCATCGTTGTTGCTATTATTATTAATCTATATGATCATTAGCTCTGAGGAATCTTATTACTTGACTATCACCCTTGCCCCAACCACTGGTATTTGTGTTTTCCTGGTTCCTGCCCACGTGCCTTCTGTCATGTGCCTCTTTTAGTATTAGTAGTCAGTGTGGGGGCAGAGGCATAGCTCTGGGGTTACCCAGGGGAGACGAGCTCTGGCAGCTCCAATCCCCTACCCTCTGGGTAAGGAAAGAGACAGCATTTAGGGAAGGGTGATAACCAAATCTCATGGGTGCAAGGTTGTCAAAGACAGACATTCCTCTGTGAGATTTACAGTTATATCTAGCAGGAAATGATCAAGCAGTTCTGCAAGGCTTGCCATATCTCAGCAGCAATGTTCTGCTGCTCCTTCATGTTCCCCTCTGTGTTAGTTCTATGAGGCTCTGGTTTCTGACCTTTGGAAAGAGGCAGCTAGGAGCTCATGCATGTGTCAGAGGTCTTCAAGAGGGGCCTTAATAGAGGCCTTTGCTCTTCCAAGTTACACAGAAGTGTTCTGAGCAGTGATGTGCCTTTGAGATTCAGGTTCAGCCTAGAGCTCTTCTCTGACTATGATCCCCACTTCTACAAACAGGGCCCCCAGCAGTTGGCATCAGAAAGTAGCACCTTGTTCAGAGGACCTAGGTTCAAATCCTGTCTCAGACACATCTTCTGGGTGACCCTGGACATTTCTAGGCCTCAGTTTCCTCATCTATAACATAGGGGGGTTGGATTTGATGACCTCTAAGTTTCCTTCTAGCTCTAAATCTCTGATTCTATGATACTGAGCTTTTTCTGAGCTTTACTATTCCTACAGGACCTGAACCTGGCTTGCCTATCAGTCTCTCACCTGTGGATTTACTTCTCCACCTTGGTTCACCCGGTTCTAAACACCTCACCCCTCTTTGACAACCAGTATCTGGGCCTAGCCCTGGATCCCAGCCCACTCCACTATATACTGAGTCTCCTTATCTTATAAACCACAGCCTCTTAAGGTTCCTGACAATAA